ATACAACAGCAGCATTAAGACCTGTGAAGTCCTTGCATGGTGCCCTGTGGAGGATGACAGTCACATACCCAAGTGAGTGCTCTGTGTCCCTGCTCCGTGGTGGCCCTCCTGGGATGAGGCTGGTGGTATGCAGCTGATGCTTCTCCCTTGAGGTGCTGTTGGGAAAAACTGAAGAGATGAGCAGCAAGGACACTGTTTGTGAAAGTATATGTTGTACTTATTTACCCTTCCTCTTGTTTTGTAGGCCAGCGTTCCTACAAGCAGCTGAGAACTTCACCCTTCTGGTGAAGAACAACATTTGGTACCGCAAGTTCAACTTCAGCAAGTAAATAGTGGGGGAGCATTGTCCTGTCTGATCTCATGGACTGTAAAGGGGAGCTGAATGGCTGGAAGAAGATGCAACAGCTCTTCTTTCTCTGTTCCCCTGTAGGCGAAACATCCTCCCCACTATCAACTCCACCTACCTCAAGGACTGCATCTATGATGCCCACACAGACCCCTTCTGCCCCATCTTTCGTTTAGGGCAAATAGTTGAAGCTGCAGGGCAGGACTTCCAGGAAATGGCTGTGGAGGTATTTGACAGACCCTTCTCTTGGGCTTTAGTTCTGTAAAAGAGGAGTGGTAGGTGGCTCTGCCTCGTGGCATGAGCCACAGAACATAGAGTAGCTGCAGGATGGAGAGCTGCTCTGGCCAGGGGGCCTGGAGTCAATTCTACTACAAATAATTGGCCTTGGCTGGTTTGGGTGGGGTTATGTACAAGACCCTTCTGTAGCAGGGGGAAAGAGTGTTTAACTGGGACTGGGACAAGAGCCAGTAAATCAGAGTCCTGGTCAGCAGAGAGCCTTATAGCAGAGACCTTCTTCTCTCCTCCACTTGGCAGGGTGGAGTCATGGCACTGCAGATCAACTGGGACTGCAACCTTGACAGAGCTGCTTCCCACTGTGTGCCAAAATACTCCTTCCGGCGCCTCGACAACAAGGACACTGCCCACACCGTCTCACCTGGCTACAACTTCAGGTAACGTGGCTGCGAGGGCACCTGTGGCTCAGTCTGCCACTGGCAGTTGTGGGTACTTTTGGGATTTCTGTGGTGCTTAGAGAGCACCAGAAGAAAACTTGGAGAGTTCTGCTGGTGCTGTAAGACAGAGTAGATGGGATCCTCACTGTGTGCAAACCACAGCAGAGGGGGGAGGTCAGTGAAGCTCCACTGATTGCGTCAGAGTGTCTTGAGTCATGTTTCCATCAGCTTTTGGGTGGCTGTTTGGGCCATGGCATGGCAGTGGGAGAACTGACTGTTTCAGGGTATGTTGATAGGGCAGAATTTGAGGGGGCTGAGAGGTGGAGGTGGGAGACCAGAGCATCTCCTTCACTGTGCTTGAGGGCAAAACTAACCTCTAGAAGTGTCTCTCTCAGTTGAAGATCATATTTAATGGCATACACCACCACATAAACATTCTGGCCATTACAGTCCAGCACCTCCAGTAAAACACCAGTGCAGCTGGTTTCATCCAGACTCAGACTGTAATAGTACAGATTGGCCACCTTGCCAAAGTCCTTGCAGGGTTCCTGCTTGTGAGGAAACACGACTTGTTGTTTCTAGAATCACAAAATCTCACTTAGCACAGGGGATCTTTTGGTGGACCTTGGATGAATTCAGTGAGGATCTGCTGTCATGCAGACAGCAGAAGGTGTGTTTGGGAGGTGCCAGGCCTGCAGGTGTTGGGGTGTCAGGCGAGACTGGCTGGAGGATATCACAGCCGGATCTGAAGTGCTCTTGCTAATTCCAGACTTTGGTGCAGCCCCTTACCAATCCTTCCTCTTCTCTTCCACCCTCTTCTCTGCTTCCTCATGGCTTAGTCAACCACGTGGCAGAGTAAGTCTGACCTCACTTATTTGTTCTCATCTTTTTCCCAGTCATTTGCCTGCGGGCCACCCTGTGCGGGACACGGAACAGCCTTTGTGTGGCAGCCGAGCTGCGCTGCTGCTCCTGGCCCTGCCCTCTCGTGGCTGCCTGGTCCCTTGCAGCTGCCTGCTCCCCTCTCTCGTGTAGCTGAATTTCTTCCCATTTGTCCTTCTGCTCCCCTACTACAGCCAACTTTCTCCCTTTCCTATGCTTTGCAAGTTTCCTGATTTGGCTTGTGATAACTGTCTTCTTAAATTCACCTGTTTTGGGCTTTTCTCCTACAAGTGCTTGCCTGCATGAAATCACCATTTGGGGTTTGTGTCTGGAAGTACCAATGTTCAGCCCATCCTCTTGGGATGTGGAACACACCTGGATGTTGCATGATCACATAAGCATCCTCAGAATTTCCAGCTAAGCTCTGACCTATCTTTCCTCCAGGTTTGCAAAATACTACAAGAATAGTGATGGCACTGAATCACGGACGCTTGTCAAAGCTTTTGGCATCCGCTTTCATATCGTAGTGTTTGGAAAGGTAGGGTGACAGTTCCTGGAGGTGTTGTAGTGAGGACTTTCAGAGATGCTGAAAAATATATTCAGCCTTGTAACTGTCTTCTAGGCGGGAAAATTTGATGTAATTCCCACCATGATTAACATCGGCTCTGGCTTAGCGCTGTTTGGCGTGGTAAGTGACACTGTCTGCACTTGGACTCAGTTCTGGATTAGTGCCTCAGTTCTGAGGATCATTGTCCTAAACTCTTTCAATCTCCACTAGGCAACAGTGCTGTGTGACATTGTTGTTCTGTACTGCATGAAGAAGAGGTACTACTATCGGGAAAAGAAATACAAATATGTGGAGGATTATGAACTGGTAAGCATCAATGGAGGCAGGGGAAAGGCAGACTTGCTTCCTTCTCTGACTGTGGAGAGATTCTGAAACAGGATGTAGAAAGTCCACATCAAATAAGGATTTAAAACCACAGTTTTTAGGAAACTTTCTCTTTTTCAGAGAAGCTAATTTTTACCTCAAGGTTGTTGCAGGGAGGAGCACTAGAAACAAATATTGTCATGTTTCCTGGGCAACCACTCTTGGAGAGAAAAATACATGTTTAACTTGTCATGCTCCTACTGCACCTCCTTTCTGGGTTGCAGTCATTGGCAGTTGCCTTCTGAGAGCTGTGGAGAATGGCTCTGTTCTCATCAAATCCTTCAGTCTTGGCTTTTGGGGTTCCTGTGGCTGTGAACAAACCCACTCAGTGGGTTGATATTTTCTGAGACCAGCCACAGCTATGGCTCCCTCCAGGGTCCAAATGCTCTGCTTGGTTAATAGGATTTAGGGAGGTGCTTTACTGGTGCTGAGAGTGGAGCTCAGCCCTACAGCCCTGTGCTTGGGGGCACGTGTTGCTGCTGAGGGTGGATTTCTGAATCCTTGTGGCACTGGAAAAGTAAAGTCTGAGTAACAGTAGCTTGCCTGTGTAGGGGGTTTCGTGTGAGAGGAAGAGGGAGAAAGAAGGGTTTTCTGGCAGAGAGCTGTAATCTCTGATCCTTGCAGGGAGTCGGTGAGACATACGGAACCAACTCCTGAGCTCCTGCTGCTGCGGCACCAACTGCTGCTCTGAACTGCTGCTGTGAACGGTACTTGTCCCTGTTGGGAGACCACCCCCTCTTCACTGGAAGGAAGTGGGGAACCAAACTGAGAAAGGGACCATCTTTGCTACTCTTCACTACTTTTCCTGGCTGGAGCCAGCCCCCAGGGAGAAGAACTCGGTCTGCTCCCTGCCTACTGTTCTTTCCAGATTAATTGCACTAAGCACAGAGGGAGAATTGTGCTTCATGACGTCCAGGCCTCTGCTCTGGCCACGCCTGGGACAGGGACATTGTCATTTTGACTGCCCTTCTATCCCTGAGCTCCCTGTGCAGAGAGCACAGGATAACAGGCAGGGATTCTTCCTTACAGTGAACATAGCCCCTGCCAGGTGTTGCCTAACCTTGGGAAAGCAGCTCCTTGCTGTTGTCAAGTCATTTTTCCTTGTCCTGAAGGATTGTGAAGCTTAGCTGAGCCTGCACCTACTATTTAACTGTGTCTCCAAGCCCCAGTGGCCACAGACGAAGATAAAGCAGTGTCTGGCTCCACTGTGCTGTGATAAATGGCTCACTGATAACAGAATATTTTCTTTTCTGTTTTGTCTAATTTTTATGGTACTACTTTAAATTTTACTTCAATAAAATATTACCCTCTCTCAGCCCTTTTAGAGTCCTGCAGGCTGGGTTTTGCTTGTTCATTTCTCCCCAGACACCATCTGTCAGTGGAGAGCTATCAAAGCCAGGGCTCTGTGGGCTTTGTCTCTTGATTCTCCCAGCAGAAGTGCTGCTGCAACTACAGCTTCTGCTCCACCTTGGTTTTCCTGACACCTTCTCTGTGTCTGTTGCATTAAAACCCTCTCCAAGGGAAAAGACTTGTAAGTTAGAGGCCTGGGTTTTAGGGACCTTATCCACACGCTGGTACAAATTACTTGGAAGAACAGATCTGTCTTCCCTGGCACACCTCCCAGGCTTTTTGCCACCACACCAACCATGTGTCTGGGCTGCTGCATTTAATGGGTTTACACAATTTGATTAAAGTGTATTTTTGGGGCTTTTATGTTCACATGGCCTTGAGCATCTCTAGTGATCACAACTGACTCACAAACCTCTTCCCTTCCTCTGAGCCTTTTCTAGTGTTACAAAGCCCTGGGATCTATTCCATACCTCCAGCATCCTGGCTGGGGCTCTGCTGCCTTTTTCCAGCAGCACAGTGTGTATACCACAGCATTACCATCTTGTTTTATTCTTTATGTGCCTGCTGCTGCTGAGCACTAAGTTGTGTCCCAACTCAAACAGTGCCTTTCAAAGAGTCAGTGCCTGTGAATGCTCCATTTGGATTATGCAGTGGCTTGAGCCACTGTGGACTTATCCTAGATCCCCAAGACGCCCAGTAGTGGTAGAGCACCAGACTTTAGTAACATAGGAAGGTGCTTTCAGATTCCTCTTCCAACAACCAAACTCTCACAGCTTGATAAAGACCAGTCAAACAGGATAATGGTTCCACTTGATCAACTAACTCTGGGTTTGATTGCATGTCATTTATTTCAATATTGTACAGTGAAGCTTGAACAGCTGTGTGGAAAAACACTTAGTTGTTGGTTTGTTTTTTCTTTCTTCTTACGTAATATAATTTAAAAGTGGTAAATACACAGTATTTAAACTTGATACACCTGATAAAGTTAAATGCATAATAAAGGGGTAGGAATGAAACACAAGCCTTGGTCATTAAACAAACAGTATAAAAATCAGCAATATTTCAGGACCTTAGAAAAGAAACAGATCAATTGCCTGATAGGTAAGAGGGGACCACCATGAAAAACTACCCAGACAAGAGGCCTGGTTTCCCCTTAGCACTTTCCTGTGTGCTTTCAGAGCCAAAAAGGCTTAGTACCCAGCAATAAGCTCCCAGTCAGCACTGGGCTTGCTTGAAAGGAAGGGAGTTGGGGAAATCAAGCTACAGCCCAGTTCCAAGGCACAAGCAAAATGTTCACTATAAGAAGAAAGCCAGCATTACTACTAAGGAACAGCAGCTGGGGAACTGAGCAGGTTTATATACACAGGACAGCTTCTCTACAGGTCATGCATTTAGAGGGATCTTTCTCACACGGCCAAGGCTTTGTGCTTTCAACAGAGCTGACCAACAAGAAAAATCTACATTGCATTTCCTTCAGAAATGTGCCTTTGGCTGCAGCCCCAGGGGAGCTGGCACTGAGGGACACTCGGTTTGGGGAAGTGCTGAGCTTTACATCCTTCAGAACCGAGCCCATGCTGGCCCTAAGACACTGATCTGTGGGAATATCTGAGGCCCCTGTGTGTGGGGGGGCATTGAGGAGCTGGTACAGCTCAGTCTGTTGAGAAGCTGTGGTTGCACCAGGCAAACCTGTGTGGTCAATGTAAACTGTCTCAGGAGGCACCCAGCAGATCACAACCAGAGATGGGCAGCACAGAGATCTCTACAACACACCTCTAGCAAACACACCACACATTGCTATGCACTAACTACAAATCCCCTAGTTTTTTAAAATTATTTTTTTTTTTTGGCAGATCAAGTCCATTTGCAGGGTTAGAGAACCAGGCTGCCCACTCACACGCATTTCCACAATGAAAAGTCCTGTTTAGGAAAGGGGGAGCAGGCAGCTGGAGCAGGGCTGGCCCCCAGGTTACCTGTTTGGTTTTCCCATAGCTGAAGCTGCAGGGCTTTGGCATAGCCTTGGATTAAAACGGGAGGAAAACAGTGCGTGTCTTATGGCTCCAAACTCCATAGTATTGCTCCTAAACCACAAACTGTCTTCACTGGCTCTGGAGACAGGCCAGCAGCACAATGTTTCCATAATAAATTGCAATTTAGGGGGAACATCACTTCAAGTGATCAAAAGGTGTAAGGGACAGCTTGTGTAAGCACCTGCACCCTTGTTAACTCTGTCCTGGCTTTAACAAACACCCGTCCTAACCAGGAATTACCAGGCCAGGTCTGACTGCAGTGGGGCCAAGGACCTCAGAGCACTGCTGCTTGTGCTGCCCAGGATCAAGGAAGACAAGGGGACAGTCACTTCCTAAAGGCAGGGCATCCATGGCCAGGGTTAGCAGGCCATTAATCACAATACTTGGGTGTCTCCTAGTGCCTTCTTCCTGAGGGCAAAGAACTAAGCCTTAGCAGTCCCTTACAAGCTTGGGAGACTCGAATCCTCCCCCTCTGTCAGGCACACCATCACTTTAAATGCCTCATTCAAGGTCACACAACCACATCAGACTGAGAAGAGATCAGACTTTTCCCCCCTTCCCAGTCCCTCACTCCATCCACTAAACAACTGTACTTACCGTGACCCCTTTCCTCAGGCAAACCCTGACTCCTCTCCGGGAGGAGTCTGCTGTTCTCCAGCTTTGTCCAAGCACAGAGAACTTGGGGAAGTGTGTCTGGACACCAGAGTCTCTCCCACCACATGATAGGTTATTATTTTTTTACAAGCACCACAAATAATCAGAGTAATCTGACTGAAGGTGAAAGAGCTCTTCATAAGAAACAATCTATGAATTAGGTATATACTTAATTTACTAACAAGCCTCTGATCCACAGGCATTCACAAATTACTGGTAACAAACTGGCAAAAATACATAGCATTGGCCCCAGAATCCAGATTAAGAGTTGGGAAAACAAAAGTTTCTTTGAAAATTACTAGCTAATCTGAATATTTTGTTAAGATTCTAAGCAAGCCCTAAGTCTATACTTAAAAAACAGCATAAGTTGTATTATTTTTAGTTGTAGTAAACCATGTAATGTACATGGAAGTGAAGGATTTTACCCTGAATTTTATATTTAATAATATATCTACCTAGATCAAGTAAAATATTTAGAAACAAACTGTTAGTGCTTCCTCTATTGTTCAAAACATTCAGCTAAACACCACCTTTCACTCATATTTCTGCAGCAAAAATAGTTCAAACTGAACTTAAGCCCTTAAATACCTTTTCCTTTCATACACTGAATACCTAACTTACCAAGTCCTGGTCACACCAAGGCCTTTGGAAAGGTGTTAATTACCTGTGGAGGTAATTAACCTCACTTTCTGAACGTCCTGAAGATGCTGCTTAATACAACTTGGCTCACAAAGGTAGGCATTCTTTAAAAAGCTGAAAGGGTGGGTTTTTGCTTTGTTCCCATGCAGTTAAAAAGGTGTCAATTAAAAACAAACCAGAAGGACAAGGAATAGATGCAACAACATTCCCGGTAGGTCGTGAACTCTCAAAAGTGCACACGTGTGGTTTTACTGCTGTGGATCCACTTGGCAAAAGCTTCACCCTTCTGAGTGTGCCCACGATGGGCACACAGACCTCTGGGACGCTGGCCTTAGTCCCTGGAAATTACTTGGCATTAAAACCAGCTAAAAGCAGTTCCAAACATGCATTTTTGTTGGACTGCTTTGGGTTGTTCATTTTTTTTGCGCAAAGCTCTGTCGCTGCTCAGCACGACCAGCTCACCTCTGTGGCACCAGCCAGCGCCTCTCCCACAAGAAGTCAGCGGTCCAAGTGGTCAGAGATGCTCCATGTTTATGGCAAACAGTCGGATGTCTGATAACATGCTGCTATGTGAGCTCTACATCCAGCATTATACTGAGATAGCGCCGTGTCATGCTGTGTTTGGCGTGGGCTCTGTCAACCTTGCTCAGCCCCAGCTGCACACTTTGTGACGTGCCCTGGATTGAGTTGCTCAACAGAACCATAAAGTCGATGTTCATGAAAGAAGTTCCTCCTCTCCCACGTTGGGCAAGTCGTTGCATTTCAGATTATCTTCACTGCCTTGTTTCCTGTTTTCAAAGGAAATAAAAGGGCTGCTGGGTGGCTCAGAGAAAGGCATAGCAGGCAGTGAGACACCAGTGTGTGCCCCTTCCCTGCCGTGGGACCTTTGGGACCCTGAGGACATGTCATCTCCCCCCAGCTCCCACGTAACAGGCTGGAAGTGCAATAAAAAGATGCTTTTCATCCCATCAGAAGAGCAAGATATTCCATGCCACAAAAATCCCATAAAGCAGTTACTGATCAGACAGAGGGGGTGTGAATGTCCCAGTCATGGCCCCCGTGAAAGATTCAAAGCCCAACTATTCAATTTCTCCTCCAGAGCAGTGAGACAAGCTGAAAATGTCTTTTGGGGATGATGACACTTACGGCAGCAGGTTCCCAGGGGAAGACAATGACCGCTCCTCCCTCTTGCTCCCTTCAAATGGGTTCCCAAAGGATCGCTTCCGGATCATCGTCTTAACCAAGATCTGTAAAACCAGAATGGAGTTGATCAGGGATGCTTTCCTTCATTCAAGAGCAACAGGAACATCCAACCCTCATGACCAAGTAGTTATTAAAACTAGGGAAAACAAGTCAAAATTGTCTTTTTAAAAAACTCCCAACAAACCAAAACCAGAAGGAAGTATGTTTGCAAGTCTCCAGCTACTTAATACAGGGGCTGTATCCTCATCTGACACCCATGCAGATGAAGCCACACTAGGTGTGAGAGGCTGGAAGAGAACAAATCCAAGTCTGGGAAGATTCTTTCCCCCCAGAAGAAGGTTTTACCGATTACTGCAAATTCCCAGTTGCCCATGATTACCTGGCAGAAAAATTCATTGGAAAGGGAGAGGGGAAGGAAGGAACCAGCGTAATTTTGCCTTAACAGTCAGCAAAACCAAACTGAAAAGCTGGCCATTTGTCTAGCTCTGGCTGCAAAACACAAAGTTACCCAGCATCAGAGACTGCTGGGAACACAGAAGTGTCAGGGCATCCCAGGCATCCCCCAACTTGTTTTGCTGGTGGGAGCAGACAACAAGGTGAGCAGCACTGGATGCTGCCTCAGCAGATTCATCCTGCTCTGGGGACCCCTGGCTTCATTTGATGTTGCTTCTTGTCCCTCTGTGCCTTCTTCCTTTGCTCATCATGGCAGCTTGAGAGCCCTTCTGTGTCCAAAGGGGAAGGCATTTTATGGGAGAGTTGAAGCCACATGAGTGAATCTCATACTGGAGTGTTAATGCTTGCACTTGGCTGCACAAAGATCAGGCACCAGAGGGTAATTTTGAAGAATGCAAATGTGAGAATACAAGATCTGCCTGGAGGCAGTGCGATATTTAAGAGGCAAGAGCCTCATTAAATCTCACTTGCCTTGAGCTGTGCTAAAACCACCTGGATTTCAATAGGGCTGGGAGCACTGAGCCCACTGAACAAGTCACCTCTGAACAGGTAAAAGGGGGGAAATCCCTCATCAGTGGTGATCTCATTAGAGCAACATCTGCTTTTTCAGCCTGAGCAGCACAAGGCACATTTGCATATTAACATATCAGCGGTCAACAAGACTTCTGCAGGGTACTGAAGAGGAAGGAGCTCCAGACATGGGGCCAGATGTGGGCACAGCAATGAGATGGAAAAGGGGCTTCAAAGGGAGACCTGTACTTCAAAATATCACAGCCTGGGTGTCTACAGGCAGATAACACTGTGCCAGGGAACTGTCAATGGTCGCTCACTGTTTCTCCTCACAAGGGCTGGTGGCACCCAAAGACATCATTAGGTTCAAAACCCACAAGAATTTCACTTTCCACACAGGGCAGGGTTACACTGTCTTTCTCACCACCACAGGGGGTTGCAGAGAATAAAAATATGAGCTTGAAAAGAGATGAGATGAAGTCACCAAGAATAGCTCCAGGCGGGGGCTGGCGCATGTTGTGGCCCAGATAAAATCTCCATCCTGGGAAGCTCCCACAGCCCCTATGGCTGGACAGGCAGAACAAGGCAGGAGCTCCTCATGCCTGGCCAAAACACCTGCTCCTGGCTGCAGGCAGGTTCTGGACCAGATGCTTTTTTGCCTTGAGCAAATACAGTGATATTTGGACAGCCAGCTCAAGCATGGAGACTGGCAACGCACTGATAGTGCCCTTTGGGACTTTTCTGGAATATTCCCCCACATATGGTACAGCCATCTCCAGCAAAATGCTGAGACCCTGAAGACCCTGAGATGCTGAAGTGCCTTGTAGCACTTCTTTCCGAGAGAGGGAAGGTCTTTGTTCTAATCCTGCCCAATGCTTTTGCCCCTCAGCAGCAAACCTCCAGCTCCTCAGGACCACCCTGGCAGGCAGCATGGACCCTGGTGTGCATCCACAGACCATCAACCCCTTCATACTCACCACGGTGGCCAGGCTGGGGATGTGCTTGACTGAATTCTCCACCTCCTCTTCCGTCACCTCGACGAGGGTGCAGTTCTCATCCTCCGTGGGCAGCAGCTCCGCTCCGTTCTTGGTGACCCAAGGGTGCAACTTCAATTAATAACACAGCCTGTCAGGAATGATTTCCTCTTTTTCATAACTCAAACAGCATAAGCCTGGCAAACGCATCTCCTTGCCCAAGCTATGGCCCCTACGTGCTCCTGAAACACCAGGGAGCAGGGGAGAGATGTGCCATCTCCCTGGTGAGCCAGCTCACCCAGCACTGCCAGGAACAGCTCAGTCCGTGGTGCGGCTCATCCGGAGCCAGCGCTGGCCCCATCTACACAACCAAGACATAACCTTGGTGACCTGCAGCCCTGGGCATCTCAGTGAGTTTTAGGGAGAAAGACCTATTTTCAGTCTCATCTTATGGATGAGACAGCACCAAGAGACAGGAATTACTTATTCCAGACGAGTAGCGGTGATGGGGAGACCCACCAAGCCCTAGTCTTGGATCTGGATTAATCCACGATGGAAGGCAGAACCCCTCTTTGTCCTTGCCCACACACCTGGTGACTTGGATGGCTGCAGGAGGAGCACAAAATGGTTCAGCAATTCCCCCGCAATCCTTTCCCCCTACCTGAGTCTCCTCCATCCTCTCAGCTTCTCGCCCCTTCCGGGCTCCCGCAGGGGCGAAGGACCAGAAATCTCCTGCGAAAGGCTGTTGCACAGTACTTTCCTGGTAGCAGAGGAAATACTGTACTCAGGGGATTTCCTTTTGCCTGTGGCTTCTCTAGGCACCAAAGGTCCCAAAGCTGAGCAGGTCCCGGAGCAGGGGAAGGTGCTGGGACTTACCTGCCCGGGGGCCCTGGGCACAGGGGGAGGACCTAGCCTGGCGCGATCAAACTGACTCCCGAAAAAAGCCAAGCAAGGAGAACCCAACAGAAGTGAAGCCACGGCCACCACTAGGGGGTCAGGTCAGTACCTTGATTTCTGGGACCGAAATCCGAGATTCAGGATTTTTATCCAACATCCGTGTAATCAAATCCTTCAGGAAGTCCGTAACTTCTGGCCTGTGGAAAGAAGGGAGAGATGAGATGGGGAAGGGGATGGATGCTGCCTCTGCTCTTCACCTCAGTGCTGCTGTGGGCCTTTCTGGGCAGATTGGGGCTGAACTCCAGCCCTGGCAGGGATGCAGCTCCAGGTGCCAAGTAGTCCCTCCTCCTCATATCCGCCAGGGAAGCAAAACATCTTCTTTTGAGGCAATCTGAAAAATGATCCCACATGTACAGGGCTGGGAGAGCCCAATACCAGCTCCACCCAGGCTAAAACCCACCAGGCAGTAACTGCAGAGGTTAATCCATTCCCTCAAACACCTCTGCAACTTCAATTGCTCCTTCTTTGGCAACTGCAAACCAGGAGTTGTTGCCTTCATGTTTAATGCAAAGGACATTTCCAGGTCCAAGGCCAACAGAAGGGCTCAGAGCCTGACTTCTGCAAAACCACAGCAGAGCAGGGCCAGCCCTACCCAGGCACTGCCTGAGAAACAACTCACATGAGTTGTAAAGTGGATTGATGGGTTGTTTTTATTTTTGAGTACTTACTGGTCTGGGAACTCCAACGTTTGGGTCTTGATTTTATTGTGTAAACTCAGGATCCTTTCATCCATAAAAGGGCACTATCAAAGAAAAACAGAAATGAGGAAAGCAACGACCTCTGTTAAAAGGCAGCAGTGGGGCAGCCAGAGGGGCATCAGGATCTCATAGGGTTTGAAGGAGAGCAAGGATCCAGTTATAGGGAAATTCCAAAAGATTTCCTATTATATCAATGTCTACTTTTAAATGCAGTGAAAATAACATTTGACCAAAAACTACCAATTACTACAAGAGCTTCTTTCCTAAAAAATCTACCCAGCCACAGAATTTTTTCACTTGGGGAAAAAGAGAACACAGCCCTTTTGGCTGCATCCATCCCAGGGACAGGCAGAGGTTCCTCATTTCCATCCACATATCCCCATCTCCACTTGGCTCAAACAGGGATGTGGGGTGCCCATCCCACCATGTACCTGGAACATGGGAGGCACTCGCCAAACCCCCCAGAACACCAACAGCACTGAAAAATCCATGTCATTACCTGCCCAAACACGAAGCAGTACAGCGTGATCCCCATGGCCCAGACATCCAAGGCCTGCAGAGCGAAGAAAGCCCAGTTAGATCTACAAGAGACAGTGTGTGTGAGGAAGACTAGTCCAAAACCCCTCAAATTGCTGTTAAATACCTTTCCAGAGAAAATTTTCCTGGTTTCTGAGAGCGTCTCTGGGGCCATGAAGGCAGGGGTGCCCACTGTGTTGGTTAAGAGGGCGTCGGCTCCCTTGAACTCATTGCTCACTCCAAAGTCAGCAATCTTGATGTGCCCATCTTCCCCCACGAGGAGGTTGGAAGGTTTAATATCCCGATGGATTATCTTCTGATAGTGCACTGCAGCCAAAGGGAAAACAAGTGATGCAGCAGCAGCACAACGGCACCGCACACCAGCCGAAGGTCCAGCTCCCATCCTTTTTGCAGAGACACTTACAGTATTCAATGCCCTTGATCAGATCCTGGAAGTAGAACCGAGCCTGGTCCTCGCTGAGAGGTTTCAGGGTTGGGATTTCCATCACGGGGCTGCAAAGGAAACAGAGAATGGAGTTCATTCTCCATCTGGATGTGCCAAAACAGGTCCTGGAGGCTTTGCCACCGTTTGGTGACAGCACACAACACCAAACACAGGCACATACAGGATGTACACAGCTGTAACTACCTTGGGGAGACAACCCAAACCTGTAGGAGCCCCACCATGAACCTTCCTATCACCTCTGCACCCCACACCCACCTCAGGTGGCTGAGCTGTGCCACCCACAAACCTGTCTCGTGTTCATGCATTAGTAGGTTTAAATCTGGAATTCAGTACTCACCCCTGCTTCACCAGTTCAAACACTGCAACGCAAAAGAGAAGGTGATTACGGATCGCTTACAGCATAGAGCTCCTCCGAGCACAGTCTCAGCACAAAAGCAATTATTTTAATGATAAAAATTCTAAAAATAATGTGTTATTTTTAAAAAGGAGATGCCGTCTTATGCAAGGCACGTGGCATTTGGGTTGCTCCCATTTTCAGTTAAGGGGATGCTGCCAACTGCCTTCTCAGTGCTGCAGCCTCAGCATCGTGAAGTGCCCTCCATGGCACACTAAACCCCTCAGTTTGCCACCAAAAAGTCCCAGCCCATGCCCTGAGCAAACCTCTGTGCTTGGCCATGAAGGCATCACACACTCTTCCACTAGTACAGGCTGAACATAAATGATGAAATAGAAATAATGCCTCCAGAAGTGTATATTTGCATCAAGCAAACCACTGTGGTCTGCCAGACAGGGTGGGAAGGGGCTCATTTGTGCTGTGGATAATTAACTTGTGCCTTGTTCTCGAAGCCAAACAAATAAAACTACTTTCTATCAGCCTGGCTTCAAAGCTGACAATAATCAATGCTGGTGCCTTTCATGGCAAAGCATGTCCTGACATTGAATTAAAAGCAATGAAGTGCTATAAAGCACTCCTATCTCCCTTCACAACTCAGACTGCATCCTCTTTGCTCCTCTAGCACATCCAGGCTATACTCATGGTGAAGGAGAGACCCAACCCCACATGCAGCCACCCCAAAAGACAGCAGGAACCTGTTGCCCCATCCCTCTGACCCCCCGGGGCAGTGGGCAGTTACCCATGTACAGGTGGTCCTCACTGGGGTCATCCAGGACCTGCCAAAAGAAGTAGAAAGGCAATTAAAGAGCACCAAAAAAACCCCTTGCAAAATAAACATTGTGATATTTTATTTAGCAGCCATCTCAGTTCTGCACCATCTGCACCATCAGCACGGTCTGCTCATCTCCGAGCTTCTACCCACAAGGGTGGGGAAAAAAAAAGGAGGACAGAGATGTAGCTGTACTTCAAGGAAGCAAATATTTAAAACACACAGGAAGCATCATCTGACTCATGAGCCAAATAAACTCCAGCCTGCACATCCTTAATTCTTGATTTTCTGGACCATTTCATACAGGCAGTGGGCGGAGGGCAAGGCAGCTGCACTGTTGAACCCACAGAAACATCAGTTCTTCCCCAAAACCCATCTGAGCACTTGTTTCCTCCAAGGAAGCAACATTTTTCTGCGTTTCCCTTCTGGACAGGGAAGAAAAAAAATCATCTTTTGGGAGATGAGAATAAAAAACCTTTTAAACCAAGGAAAAGACAAGTCTCCCAAAGGCAGGGCTTGCCATGACCATCTCAGCCCCTCTGCGGTCGCTTCCCTCCACCCGCTCAGGATGAATTTGGGGAAGGGGTTGGTCAGCACTTACCTCCACCAGCTTCACCACGTTGGGGTGGTCCAGCTTCTTGAGGATGGCAATCTCCTGGTAGACCTGCTCGATGGGCCCTCTGGGCTGCAGGCAGCCCTCGGAGGCAGCTTTGGCCCCGCGGGGCGGTGGGCGGCCTGTGGGAAAGGCAAAGATGGGGTGTCCGGTCGGGATCAATCTCCTGGGGACCTCAAATCATCCTCCACCCTAAAGGTTTTGTGCCACTTACGGGGGAAGCCTGCCTGCCTCATCAGCTTCTTTTTGGAGAGAACCTTCATTGCCTGCAAGAGGGGAACAAATGTGGAATTTAGAGCAAATCAAGGACAAAATGGGGCTGGTGGGATGGGGCTGGCACAGGGGGTCAGCTGGAAGGGAATCCATCCCAATCCCATCTGCCCTGCTCCAGGGCCATGCACTACTCACATAGTAGGTGTTATCATCCTCATTGTAGGCCAGCTTCACCACCCCATAGGAGCCCTGGAGAGGGGCACAGCCATGGGGCACCAGTTAGGGACAATTCAAAAAAACCCACATCACCAAACCAGGCTCTGGACTCCTCCGCAAACCCGCCCCCACTGGGATCACAGAGCAATGCTGGGAGGAGTGGGGTGTACGCTCTGACATCACACCAACAGCAAAGAAAAGCTTCAAATGCCCCATTTCTTGGGAGGGAGGGGGCATGGGGAAAATTAATAATAATTTTAAAAATATACAATTCAACCAGCACCACTCAGAACAGACCAGGGGCAACAAAGAGCTGCTGTGGTGAGTGGCTGAACTCATTGGCTGGAAAATGAAAGTGAGCCCAACACCCTCCCACCCCAAATCCCCCTATCACACCCCAAACCCAGCCAATATTCACCTTCCCAATCTCATCCTTCAGCTTGTACTGGTTGAGCTGCACACAGTCCTGTGGGAAGAGGGGGGGGGTTAGACATGAGCCACCAAACCACTCAGGTTTGATCTCCTCCTTTTAAATCTCCAGCAAAACTTTCTCTGCAAACTCACCCCTCGTCCTGCTCTGCCTGGGCACCCAGTGGAGCTGGGCAGCTTTGATTCATGAGCCACACACGCTGGTGTGTTTATATATGTTTAATTGCTAATGTTAATGATACTGACCACTCATGTGGAACGAGAGCGCACGATGGGCTGGGAGAGCCCGGGGGTTTAATGCTGGCGACTTGGCGCTGAGTAATTTTATTTCTTCTGGACAGAGCAGCTGCTTGCTGCCTGTTTTCTGTCAGGCTGGGGGCAGGCAGGGCTGTTTTCTCTTTAGATTTCAGTGGATCTCTCTGTTTTTTTATTTTTAAGGAGGAGAGAAAGAGAAGCGCAGTAAGCTCCTGGCTTCCCCAAAACGCAGCCGTGAGAGCTGGTGGCGTCAGCAAAAGGCACAAAAAACAGTGAGTTGGAGGTCTCAACTTCCTAAGGGATGTCCCCGTGGCCCAGGATGGACTGGGATGTCCCACTGCTTCCCGCCACACATATGCAGACAAAAAAACAAGCGGAAGCAACACTGTGGTGGGGAAATCCAGGAGGGCAGGGGCAGGACAACCACGGGAGCAGCGTTCACCCCCTCACCTGCAGTCCTGTGATGGACACGCGGTTGGACTCCACCGTGGGCCGCCGTGGCAGCCGCGGGGAGGAGTGTGGGGACGTCACCGGGGAATAGGGCAGGGATGGGTAGATGAAGCGTTCGTTGGCGCCGTTGCCGGGCGAGCGCGCCGGCTGCGGCCGCTCCTGCAGGGACAGCTTTCGGCCGGAGAGGTGCAGCTTCCGGCCGTCCCCGAAGCCCTCGCTGCCGGGCACGTCCATCTCCTCCTCGCTCGTGCTCGCCGTGGCGTCGTACTCAGTCACCACGATGAGCGAGGCCATGCCGGCGCGGCGGGGGCTCAGCGCCGGGGGGTCCCGCAGCGCCGCGGGGGCTCGGCCGCAGCCTCCGGCACGGCAGAGGGGCCGCGGGGCGGGAGAGATCCCGGGGACATGTGGCGGTGTGGGGTGGGCGTCGGCCTCATCCTGGCCATGCTGCCACGGGGAGATGTCCCTGCAAATACAGGGTGGGTCAGCCAGGCTTCCCTGGAAAGCAGGATTTCCTCCCACCGGTCATTGCTCTACAGATTGATTTATTCAGTCCGTGGAGAATGGTAAAGCCAGGGGCAGTGGCACACGATGGCACTGGGGATGTGCACCCACCCTGCCACGGAGCAGACCCCAGGCTGGAGACAGCCTCAGCCCCAAGGCTGCTGCCACTGCTCCTTCCACCCTTTTTATTTAAACACTTCCAGGAAATAATAATTCCATCATCTCCACTACAGAAATACCCCAAGGTGTTATTTTACAGCTTGCACTGCAGTGGCATAAATATTGTTGAGTTCCCTACTTTAGTGCTCGGAGCAGGCGCATCTCTGCCAAACATCCCCCAAAGGAAGCGGTTCAGGGGCACAGGGACCCACTTACCAACCATGGGGTGCAGGATCACCCCCCCAGCTCACTCCCTCTTCCCACAGCTTGTCATTGCCAGTGATTTCTCTTCCTCGCCCCGGGTTCCCTTATGGCCTTCTGCGCAAAACTTAGGTCCCTGGACCTTGAGATAAATGAGAAACAAAGAATTAAAAAAATCAAATAATGAAATAATAATTTTAAAAGGGGGGGAAATGGTCTTAATTGACACATGCTGCAGCAGCCAGGGCAGTTCGATGGGCGATTGGCTGTAAACCATCACCCTTCCCTGCTGCAACACTGGTGCTGTTTTTAATTTCTAGGTTAACAAGTTGCCGCAGAAAGAAGAGAAAGAAAATATCCTGAAACAACCAACCCTGAAGCAGGAACAGGGTCTGAGGCGTTTTTCTGCCTGGTTCCCACACCTCGACGAGGCGGCCGGTTAAAATTAGCTCCACTCATCTCCATTGAAGTTTCCGTGATGCACCCGCACCACAACCACTGTGAATCAGCCCAGCAGAAATTATGGGTCAAGTACAGAAATCAAATCGTCTCCCCCGTCCTCGAGGCTTCACAATGGCCTAATTGCTGTTTTCAACACCAATCTATAAACCGGAGCCTTTTTGCCCAAGTGGGATCGGCCTGGAGCTAAAGCCAACCCGGCACTGCTTGGCTGCTTCGAGGCATGGAGAAGCACAGGGATGGGGAGGCTATAAATAAGCCAACAAACAGCAACAAGGACAAACTATTTCAGAAACGCCGCATTTGGTGGGGCTGAATCCGCTCCTGGACGGGGTTTTGCTGGATGAGAGAGCCAGGAGTCACCAGCCAAGCCAAATTCCCCCTCGGCGCTGCTGGCAGCCCACGGCAGCGTGTTTTAATGCACTCCCAAATGGATTAAAACAAACAGGCAGGCCCCCCCATTCATCCTGAATCCACAGGGATGCATCTCAAGGCCAGTTGCCATTTGCCTGGCTTGCTGTGGGCACCTCTCCAGCGGGCACATATAAATAGCTGCCCCTGAAGCCGGAGCCGATCCCGAATGCTGTGCCCTGTACCCTCACCGGGCACCGCGGCCGCACCAAAAAAGGCAGCTCATCAGGGCAGCCCCAGGATGAAGCCATCCCAGGAACATCACTGGCAGCAGTACCGGTCCCCAGCAGTGGCACAGCACTGCTAGGCATCCCATCCTGCCCCCCAAGCATCCAAATTTCCAAGGATTCCTGCTAAACTTTGCCAGGCTACAGCAAAATTGAGTTATGAAGTCTTGTCACACTTAAGAGCTGAGCGTGTCCTGGCCGGCGGGAGTTAATTGGCTTGACCAGGATAAACATATCAAGTCTGATTAATTCAAGCAGGCTTCCCCAGGCTCTGTAAACAGGCTAAAAGTCATCCAAGCCCCATCGTAACGTTGGCTGGAGTGGAAAATCTGAGGGGTTTTCCCTTTGCATGTGTGCCGAGGGTCAGAGGACAGAGTTTTGCAGACACTGTCCTGTGAGATGACACCTTCCCCAGGAGAAACCCAAAAGTGGGGTCACACTGTTGAACACAGCCCTGTTATCCTTAATAAGCACATCAGGAGGCTGAAGAGGAGGAGGTGGAGGAAAACAACCGTATTCCCAGCCAGAGGGAAAAGTGAAGTAGCTGGGATGGGGGGGGAATAAACCCAAACAGGGGTAATACAGCCTGGAGGGTCTGGCTTCACCAACCCATCCGGGTCCTTGCCTGGGGAAAAGCAGCACATTCTGGTATGAACTCCAGCAGATCCTTATGTAAAAGGGAGCAGCACATGCCCACAAAATCCTCAGGAAATATAACAGCCTGGTGTATAGGAATGATTTATCGGCACAGCTCTTGGCTGCAATCCATATATAACCCATAGCGGCTGCAGCAGGATTATCGAAGCAATCAGTCTCGCATCTAATTCAGCAAGGAGAGGGATATTAAAATGAAAAGAGGTCTGTGAAGCCCTGGCAGCAGCTCTGCCTCTTGCTCAGTGCCCACGTGGCTTAAGCGGAAATGAATGGGAGTGAAATCGGCCCCCACGAGAGTGAAGTGATTCCACAGCCCCCTCGGGCCGCCCCAGCTCTGCTGTGAGCGCTTGGTCTCTGCCTGGATCCTGCCTGCTTCCTGCTGGGATGCAGCCACCCCCGGATGGGAACACGCCGACCGATTTTGGGGGAGTGCAGAGGATGACACCTTGCAGCCAGCACAAGATTTAAATGGGAGCGTATGGATGCCTCAGCCTGCCCTTCCCTCCCTAGAGCTGCTTCTCTACCCACATGCAGGGCAGGCGAAGGGATGGTGCTGCCACGCACTCGCCTTCCCCCCTCCACGTGCTTCCCTGTGGCAAGGCCAGACACAGTGTCAGGATCAGACCCTCCCAAGGCAGTAAGATTTGGTGGCAGCTCAGCAGTGACACCTCCATCCATCCTTCCTTGGGGGTCAGCTCCCACACTGCAAAACAAGCTGCTCACAAAACTGAACTCAAACCACCTAAACCAGGGCGGATTTTACTCACAGAGGATCCTCCCTTGCTGCCACTGAAGGTCTGTGGTTAAAAGCCAACTGGGGCCAGCCTGGGGCAGTTATTGGTCTCCCTGGGCAGAGTCCAGTGGCTATTTTGCTTTCCCTGGTCACAGTCAGCGGTGGAAGTGCCCGTGCCAGGAGTGGTGTCATCTGCAGCAATGGGGGCATCGATCACAGTTTCCCTTCCTACGGGTGAGTGCAGACCTTGCCAGAAATATATTAGTCACTGTAGTATACAAAGACCATATGCATCCCTACCTGACTTTTAATGGGAAAAAAATCTCTCAGCTGCTTCTCTAGAAGTCAGAGGACACCCAAAATTATGAGATACTGGAAACAGGCACCAGACCCTATCTACACTCAGCCCCTGTGCCAAAGCAGAGAAGCTTTTCATCATCCCTGGGGTGAACAGAAGAGCCTCTTGTGCTGCCTGGCCCATCCAACACCAGGGAAAGAACTGGGGAAAAAATGCAAAGCCAGGCTGGGAGCATTGTAGTGAAACCCAGAGGCAGGTTTCAATAGGAGTCACAAAAACATCTTTACCAAGATTTTTTATAATCTTGAGGATTAAGTAATATATAATGAGCATCCCAAGACAAGAGTGTAAGCTCCAGACATTGCATTTGAGCACGGGCTGGGATGAGCTCAGGCCACCACCATCAGCTTGTCCAGCATTGTCAAAAAGCTCCCAGCTTTCCTGGAAACATCAGCTCCAGCATGCAATGGCCACAAGAGAGGAAAGGAGAGCAGCTCTGCACTTTCTGAATGCCACTTAAAAGACATTAGGGCTGAAAGCAAAGCCTCCTCCAAATTACCTCCCTGGAACAGGGCTGATCCATCAGACACCCCTCGTGGCACACTCAGGTATGGGCTTCTGGGGTTTGTTGGCTATTTTTCCCAAAACAAAGTGCTGATGGAAAGGGGCCAGGAGAAGGACAGGGCTCCTTCTCCCAGGAGAAGGGCTATCTCTCCAGTTGGGGCCATGAAGGGAACTCCAGTGCCCACAGCTACCACACACCCTCTCCCCAGCACGGTCCCCCTGGCCCCGAGGACCACCTGGTCCTGTCCCCAGGGCTGGTTTTTGCCCCTGTAGCATTTCACAGCCGCACAAACAGCCCGCAGTTCCATCACACCAGCTTCCTGTGGTCATCTCGCTTCTGCTTTTGGTCTTTACTGTCACCTCCACGCTCCTGATGCTCCGTGCCGTGCACGTGGCCACAGGGCTGCATCCCACCTCCTATCCACACTCGGTCACTCGCAGCAACCCAACCTGTGGCTGTTTCTAACGAGACCTGTCCCCTGTACGCAGTTGCTCCACCAGCTACATCTTCTGGCCTCTCATTTGCCCCTTGACCTTAAAAATTCCCCCCTTTCCCCAACCCCATGGCCTATCTTTCCCTGGCACCCCTGGTCCCAGCGCTCAGCCTCCCGCGGGCAGGAGCCCCATGGGGTCTGTGGGACACCTCGCCCTGTCCCATCCCCGCTCCCGGGATGCCGCCGGGTCCCGCGGCGCGTGTCGGGGCCGGCGGGAGCGGGATGTGTGCGGGGCCCGGGCGGCCACGGCGCAGCTCGTGGGAGCGGGATGGGGAAATGACAGCCCCGAGTGCCCGCACAGGCCGGCCCCGAATCCGCGGGGAGCCCCGTCCGGAGGCGATGCCGCTCGCCGCCCGCAGCCCCAGCTCCACCCCGGCTCCGTCCCCGGCTCCATCCCGGCTCCGTCCCCGGCTCCATCCCGGCCCCCGCCCGCACGGTCCCTCCGGGCGCGGCTTTGTCTCCGCGGCCGCATCCCCCGCGCGGGCCCGCCCGGCCTCCCCGCCCGCTCCCGCAGCACCGACCTGGCGGGACGCGCCGCTCCGCCGGCGGGGAGCGGCCCCGCGACCTCCGCAGACCCCGCAGCCCTGGGCCGGAGCGCGGCCGCCCGGCGCCGCCTTCGCTTTCAGTTCCGCTCCGGCGGCGGCAGCGAGGGAGGGAAGGAGGGAGGGAAGGAGGGAGGGAGCGATGGAAGGAGGGAGGGAGGGGAGGGAGGCCCCGCTCCGCCCCGGGGAAGGGCAGGTTTCCCCCCCGGGCAGTCGCATCCTGTCCGCCCACCCCCCCGCAAGCCGCTCTTGGGGTGGGTTTTGTTCTTTCGTTTACGCATAATTATTATTTTCCGGTTTTATCCCCCCTCGGGCCGCGCTGCCCCGCCTCGCCTCCCCGCGGGATGCAGCGCGGAGCTCCCGCGGTCCCGCTCCCGCTGCGGGCTCCCCTGTCCTGCCTGGGGGGGACACGAACCCCGCTATCCCTCGCCGTCCCTTCCCTCTCCGCGTCTCGCGCGTTTCCAGAGGCTGGGTGCGAACTGGGTTACCTGTGCCAGCTCTCCCGGACCTTCGCTGAGCGGTTTCCCAAATCATCACCTGAAGGGGAGCTTTGGAAACCAGTTGTTTGGGAATGTCACAGCTGCCACTGCCAGGCCATTGCCCCCACCAAACACAGCCCCCACACGGGTTGCAGCTCTGCAGTGGTGGGACAGAACCCTTTATAACACCCCGGCTTGCACTAGCCCTGGGGAAACAGCCCTTACTTTGTCCATGCAAATTACTTGGCTTTTCTTCTGGAGCACATTCCCATCCAGCACCATTCCTGTGCAGAGCTCACCTGTGGTTTTCAGATGGACTCTGCTTTTCATGAAGCAACAGCTTCAGCCTCGAGTAGATGTGAAAGCCACAGCTGGCCAAACCCTCTTCCTCTTTTTGCTTTGAGACCTGTTTGTGGACACCACTTTGACACTGTAGAACTCCTGGAGTAGAGCCAGGCTCCCATGGCAGCTTCGTTGATAAACGCTGCTATTTTGACCAGCATCTTGAAAGCCACTCTAGAAATCAAGCTTATGCACTTGCTGTAACATAGTAGGTGCTCCAAACATTTTAAGGACTGAACCCCTTGACGGTGATTAAAACATAGCTGAGAAGGGACAAGCCACCAACACCAGCATTCCCACAAAGCTGGGTTCCTGTTTGCTGTTGGGAAGGCCCTGATGATCTGCCAACAGCCACGATGCAGCACTAATTAGCAGGATGTGTAAGCTAACACTGGACTACCCTTGTCTGAACCACTTCTCTTTTCCTCCTTACCTGGCAGGGCTCCAGCAAACTCAGGTTTAGGTCTGGTCTTGCTTTCTCTTGCTGACAATGCCACAGTTAAATCTATTGCTTTCAGGCAGGGGGTCTCCAGGTGTTAAATGATGTTCAGCTTTTATACAGTCACAGGGGGACTGGCACACCCCTCCCCAAGGTTCACCTACAAGAGGTTTACACTCACAAAAGTGCAATCCCATCTGCCCTGAAATCCCACAATACAGTCAACAGGAAATTTTCTTCCAAAGTGAGCATCTAATTGCTAGAAGACAACGTCAGCACACTGGATATTCAGTTACAGAATCATGGAAAGGTTTGGGTTAGAAGGGACCTTAAAGACTATCTTGTCCACTGCCACGGGCAGGGACACCTCCCACTAGCCCAGGTTGCTCCAAGCTCCTGTCCAGCCTGGCCTTGGACACTTCCAGGGATGGCACAGCCACAGCTTCTCTGGGCAACCTGTGCCAGGGCCTCACCACCCTCATAGGGAAGAATTTCTTCCTAATATCCCATCTAACCCTGCCCTCTGGCAGTGGGAAGCCATTCCCCCTTGTCCTGTCACTTCATGGCATTGTCCAAAGTCTCTCTCCAGATTTCTTGTGGGCCCCTTCACCCATAAAAGCAGAGCAGGTGAATGATACACAGCACTGAGGGGAGAACACACAAAATAAAAACATTTCAGCAGAGCTGGGGCTTTTTTTTTCTCTGCACAAGGACACGTGTAACCACAGCCCCGGGACTTTGCACCGTTACACCTCTGACTGAACCCTTCTGGCAGCTCCATCTGTTTCTACAGCATGAACAGTGACTGCAGACAGGTTAAAAGCAAGGACATGTTTTAAATCAGACTCCCCATTCCACACCACTTAAAAGGAGCACAAAGGAGCTTTGCTTCCACTTCTCACTATTTTTTGTGCCCCAGTCTTCATAAAGCCAGCACTGATTCTGGAAATGTCACTGCTAAGAACAAACACTGTTTTTATCATGACTGTGCTACCCCCCTCAGCATGCTTATAACACAGTCAAGAGGGTCTTTTCTCTTTTCTCCCCATTCAATTCTTAATTTCAAGTACAGAATAAAAAGGAGATGGGTTGAAAGCAACACTTGCCCTTGTCACTACAAACAAAATACAGGTTTGTTCAATGCCAGACCATGATTTATTGGCAGTTATTCCGAAACACGGATGATTGAATATAATAAAGATGTTTGTAAAAAAAACCCCAAACCCAGAAAAACAAACAAGTCTCATCTTGAAATGCATCACTTGAAGGAATTGATCAAAGGGACACCGTGTGCTGGCAGTTCCTGGTGCAACTGCCGGAACAACATGGCACATTTGTTCCTTTCCTGGGTCCTGCCGAGGGTGTGGAACAGCCGGGCCTGGAAGTAGAGAACGTCTCTGAGCTGCTCTTTGCAGTCCACCTTGGCAAAGTAAGTCTTGGCTTCATTCAGATTCAAGATGGCAGATTCTGAAGCTGTGGGCAAAGGGGGACAGGTATTTAAGACAATATCACAACAACAACTCCAAGCAATGGAGCTCAATTCTAAGGAGCCCAATTATAAATTCCTCAGCTTTTCAAAACCATTGGTGTCTTAGCAACGTGGTCTTCTAGCTGGTTTCTGTTATTCAGCCTTTGCTGCAAAATATGGTGTGAAAGTGTGCAGACAAACAAGGTTCCAGCATAAACAACTGGTGAATAACTAATTCCAACTTAATTTTGTATCTGCTAACCAGGTAACACACTTTTTTAATGGTAATGGTGTAGCAGGACACCAGTATCAACACTGGCTTGCGCTTCTGAGCACAGTTTCAGTGAGGAGAATTACCCTTCACACTACCTTCAGTCTTCTTTTGTGGAGAGTAGGAAGCTGCAGAAGCCACCTGACATTTGGCCACCAAGAACATGGCACAGCCTTTGTCCAGGACAGCTCCGTGGGCCAAGATGGGTTCTATTGCCATGTGCAGGATATTCAGGGCTTGTTCAGGAATGCCAAGGATCAGCTGGAAGAGAAATACTTGCTAGTGTCATACTGGAATCCACTGGTAGGAGCTTCTTCAGGGAAGTCACATCTGTTTCTAATAATACAATGCACTACAGACAAGGGTGTAGGACAATTATTATTCTTTTTGTCAACTTTTCCCCCCACAATTCTCTTTTAGATTAAACTTGTCAGCAGAAATGAGCTGCTATCTGAAATGATTGGGAATGGCTTCTCCACTGAGTCAGTGCTGACAGCCACATCTCTCAGAATAAACAATATAACTCAACTCATTGCCAGCATTATTTTTAATACACGAGGCAACCCGAACTCCTTGAAAGCCAGAATACCAGCATAAAAAATAACCAAAGAAATTAAGGCAGTACAAATTTATGCTGCTTAATTATATGCAATAACTATACCTTTCAGTGATACACACAAAACTCAACTTTTATTAACTTCCTCGAAAGCTTTTACGTTCCAAGTACGCTTCTTGAGAATCAATCATTTAATTCCAACAAGGCTGTGATCTTAAATCTCACAGGAGTAAAAACGGCATCCAGAACCCTGGAATAAATGTTACCCTACAGCCCTGTGAAAACACAAATCAGACCTACCTGGGAGAAAGCCAAGTTGAGCACAGTTTCAGAAGCCAAGTACTGCAGGCTGTACTCCCGAGCCAGGGCGAGGGCCTGCAGCAGCACAGGCAGGGCTATGGTGTGACATGAAGATCTCCAGTACAGCTCTGCTATTGACAGCAGCACCCTGACAAAACAGAGGGAAGGAATTACAAACATTGCTGAAAACTTGTTTCCCAAGGAATTTTTCCATCCGTAACAGTATTGGTTTTATTATTAATTACATTACTGCACATACTATAAACTTAAATTACACCCCTAAGAGGAAATGCCACTGAGATACAAGAGATTAAACAACACTGTAACTACTCTGAAGGTTTGCACTAAGGTACAACCACACACATATTACCATTTCCTATTTATTTTAGATGCAGTGTTTCCTTTTTCCATAAATCTTTGTGGAACTTGAAGTTTACCACCTTTTAGTTTACATATTAAATATATGTAGGTTTCAATGCCACAATATTTTGAGGATTCCTCCATAGCATGATTAATAACTGAAATGATTCTGTAATCTCAAAATCACAGCAGGTAATCTGAAGACTAGTGAAGTCTGAACACAGACAAATTGAAATGGCTGATTCTAATCACTGCAAAGTGGCTTTAATACTCTGAAAATGAAACATTCTTACCTAATCACCATCTCGGTGTTCTTGGTTTTCTGGCAGTGGATCAACAATTTCTGCAGAAGTTTGTGTGCCTCTGACATTTGATTTTGGGCTTTCAATACAATGGCTTTTCTGCCGTGGTAGAAAGAAAACATCGCTCTATTTTTGTATTTTAGATACAATTCTGCTCTTCAGGACATGGTAAAACAGGTCTCTATTTTGTGACCTCTGTTTCTTGTAACTGCAGACTGGCACCTTGACAAAGTGCACGCCTGGTACACACACAGGCAGGAGCAAAAACAGATCTCTCTGGTGCCAACTGGACAACTCCCAGACAGAAAGGATCAAACTCATAAAATTGCTTTAGATAGAAACCAGGGATTGCCAAAAACAAAGGCCAAAAAGGCAGCAGAAGTGGGAAGCCATGCAAGCTAGAAAGCACAAGTCATTATCTGTGAGAAAAACAGGTATGAGGTAAAGCAGCTAAAATTGGCTTGAGGTAACAAGGATATGGAGCAACAGGAAAACACAAGAATAGGGAAGTCAGGGCCAACTGCACGGCAGCAGGGGATGGTACAAACACCCTGAACCAGACACTGAGCA